GGGGGGGGAAGGCTGGTGATGCACTTGCTGTGGAGCGCGGCGCCCTGAGCTAGACCCACCGCACGACTCCATGAGATGGTTCTACAGCAGCCTCCGCTGCTGGCTCAGGCCACGTCTTGGGGACCCAGCGTGTGCTTTTCAGGACTCTGCACGATCCCTTGGACGTATCCGTGCTCTGCCCGCTGGGGTCCTCCAGGATTCAGCCTCTGCCTCCCCTTAACTGCCGGCAGGAGCAAGTCCCCCAGCGGCAGAGCTGGGCAGTCCTGGGGAAATGCTCACCACTGCTGCAGGGATGCAAGCAAAGCCACCAGCAAGCCTAACGTCCCTAAGGCAGAGCCCAGTAGAGCCGCACTGAATGAAATGCAGTCCTCAGCATGGGAACGCATGGGCACCTGACATCCCCGGGGTGGGCAAGGCCAGCGCTGGGGCTGCAGCCACAGCACAGGGAAAGGAACAAGCCCGGGCACTGGGACCAGCAGTCGTTCCCCACTCCCCCTGCCCAGGAAGGGCCCGCAGTATTGTGAGCAGAGGACAAGTGAAAATATGACTGTTTAACATCTACATCAATGACCTGGAGAAGGTGAGGCAGTGCTTGTTCATCAGGTTCACAGAGGACACTCAACTGGGTGACCAGGCCTGTTGCCCAGAGGGCCTTGGGCAGGCTGGAGGAACAGGCAACGGAAACCTTGTGCAATTCAGCAAGGACAAAGCCAAGTGCTGCCCCAGGAAGGAAGATCTTCCACTCAGGCTTCTTCATGCGCTGTGCAGAGCTCAGGCTGGGGGAAGGGCTGGAGAGAATTTTCAGAGAAAAGTAACATTCTTCTGCTACCTCTTACCATAAACCACCAGAAAAGAGCAGCCAGTGAAGACTAGATACACAGACTCTTAGCTTCTGGCTTTATAGACTATTAATTTAGAAGACAGTGGCCAGACTGCCTGCTTCAGTTGAAAGGTCTGCCTGATTATTTTCCCAGGTAAATTGTCCAACATATTTCTTTATTAGATTTTGAAGGGGCTAATAAATGAATTTACCAGGTGATTTCTTCATTTATCACTGCAATTTAAACCAACAGACAACAGCATTGAGTGAAACAGGTTCATTTCCATGTGGCTGATGTAATGATGTTGCCAGGATCCGTAAATCCTCCCTGAACAGTGTCAAGCGATGCTCCTTGGCGGGAATCTATGAAATTTATGCATCCGCCCAGGAGACATGCACAGCTTCACGCACACCGCTGGCTTCTGTGCACGAGCCGCCCCAGCCTCGCTCTTCTGCGCGGGGCCCCCCCCAGCCTCCGAAGCGGCTCGGCCAGGGCAGACACGTCCGCCCTCCTCCCCCGCCTCGGCGCAGCCCTTTCCCCCACCCCGCCGACCAGGCACCACGAGCACATCTTCCCCCGGAGAGAGGCAAAAAGCACGGCCTGGGAGGGGGCTGCAGACCCACGCCGTGGTGTGGACAGGGCGCAGCACGTGTACCACCGATGGCACGCAGGGCAGTGATACAGCCCAGGGCATCGCCCGCTCTAGATTTATATTCAGGATTCAGGGACCAGCAAGATGGTTGTGTTACGAGTCAAACCATAATTTCCCATTAGATGTTAAAAACTACTTAGTGGTTCTTAAAATACTTCTCCTTCGTTCAAAAGTAGACAAAGTAGATATTTTATATGTCAGGGAAGACATTTCCTTCTTCCCGGTAGAGATGTTATTTGTAGCTTCTAAACACCAAAGCTATTAACAATAAACAATTCAATGCAAATAGGAGGTATTTATAAGCAGAGGGTGCTCATGGGAATGAAGTCATGAGCGCAGCCAGTCTCTTATTTCTACCCTTAAAATAGTCATTATTTTATGTACCCTAAAAAATCCTCTGTAAAACTATTCCCATCATTGTTATCCTTGTTAGCACGCATCAAATGGGGAAGAGCTTCCCGGTGCCGGTGAGCAGCAGTGGCGCACCCACGTGCCGCGTCCCCCAGCGCGCCTGGCTTGTGCCGCTCGCCACGGGCTAGCACAGTTTTAGCAGAGGAACATACTTTCTCACTTCCAGTTTCACAGATATTTCACACAAGTCTCAAACTGTAACAGTAGATTATTCCATCATTTACCTTCTGGGGACATCAGATGGGGACCATCATCTCTGCTGCTCTGCTACGTTACGGCTGTTCCTGCTCTCCCTGGGTGCTGGGACCTACAAAACCTGCATTAGTCTCATGCATCAGCGAGGCGGACACAAGACAACCAACATGCAGAACTGTCCTGTATACTTTTTAACCTATAAGCTATGATTTTAAAATACTCATTTTGTACCAAGGAAATGTTTTGAGATGCCACTCAAAGTTGCTGGCAAACATGAATCCTTAGAAACAAACCACTAAAATGCACCAGAGAGAAGTTCTTCCTGCTGAGGGTTTCATTTGATTTCTTTGAATTTGGTTGTGGATGATTTTCACAGGGGGGAAGGGACAAGAAACAGAGGAGAATGAATATTCTGATGAAATACCTTGATTAGCCATCAGTCAGCATTAGGGAAAGGGAAAAAGGTTGCAATTTGAAAAAATGACCTTTCAGCAAAATGGTTAATTTTATATTACTTTTCTGAGTTTATTTTTCTTAAGTCGGTTTTCTAAATGTTTCAACTTCCAGTTGAATGCCAGACCAGAAAAAAAGCTAGTAGCAGTGATGCCTCCCAGGTGCCCAGCAGTGCACACGCTCCACCTCAGCCCCAGGCCGCGTCTGGCAGGGGCCAGTCCCCAGCTGAGCGTCCCCACACCAGCAAAGCGCCCACAGAGGTGGGGAGCTGAGCCCCAGCTGCAGGACACCTGCACCCCAGGGAGGGACTTCTCACCCAGGTGGGTCCCTCCAGCCCTCTGAGATCACCTGCACTTGGGCATCTGTAACAGCTCTGCAGAACTTGAGCTCAGCCTTGGAGTCTAAGGGGGAAAAGAGTGACTTTTTCCAACAGCACAGCTGTAGCCTAAAAACAGTATCCACATGGTCCTCATCCTTTAGCCTTGTGGAACTTCTGTTAGTATTTAAATCATGCTATTTACAAATTAAAGCATGGGCAACATCAAACTCTCATATGGGAATAAACTCTGATCATAAATAAACAGAAAATCAGCAGTATAGCTATTGCCTGACACCAATGGACACTTTGTACGAGCAGGACAGCTGCATTCCTGGGACACGACCATAAAATTGCCATTATGGAGTCAGCTGCAGCTTGGTGTTCATGGACAGGGAGCAATCGGACAGTGCATTTCCTCAGGTTAGAGTGGACTAGCCTTCCTCCACCGTGTGCTCCCTGACCTCTAGTCTTTCCTGGAAACCAAGCATCACTCGCTCTGGTCTTCAGGG